AAGAGAGTGGTCCAGTTTCATTCTTTTGCATGTAGCTGTCCAGTTTTCCCAACACCATTTATTGAAAAGACGGTCTTTTTCCCATTGGATAGTCTTTCCTGCTTTGTCAAAGACCAATTGAGCAGATAGTTGTGGGTTCATTTCTGGGTTTTTTATTCTGTTCTATTGGTCTATGTGTCTATTTTTGTGTCAGTACCAAACTATTTTGATCACCACAGCTTTGTAATATAACTTGAAGTCTGGAATTGTGATGCCTTCGGCTTTGCTTTTCTTTTTCAAGGTTGCTTTGGCTATTCAGGGTCTTTTGTGGTTGCACACAAATTTTAGGATTGTTTGTTCTAGCTCTGTGAAAAATGCTGGGGGTGTTTTGATAGGGATTACATTAAATGTGTAAATTGCTTTGTGCAGCGTAGTTATAATGAGTACCAGGTGTTGTATGGAAGTGTTGAATCTCTATATTGTGCACCTGAAACTATTATTATGTTGACTAACTGGAATTTATTTTATTTTTTTTTCAACGTTTATTTATTTTTGGGACAGAGAGAGACAGAGCATGAACGGGGGAGGGGCAGAGAGAGAGGGAGACACAGAATCGGAAACAGGCTCCAGGCTCTGAGCCATCAGCCCAGAGCCCGATGCGGGGCTCGAACTCACGGACCGCGAGATTGTGACCTGGCTGAAGTCGGACGCTTAACCGACTGCGCCACCCAGGCGCCCGACTAACTGGAATTTAAATAAAAACTTTTAAAAAAAGAAAGTGTGACTTAGGTAGTCTTATAAAGATACTGAAACTTAATTCCTCAAGATTTTATCGTTTCTCAGTTGCATTCATTTACTTCTTAAACATTCCATAAATCATATTAAATACAACCACAAAATCCAAAAAATAAAAAATAAAAATAAAGGCTGCTCTATAAGTCTGGGTCTTGAAGTAAAGACTATGTAGTAAAAGAGCCACAGCTATCTTAACAGACATGTAACATGATAAGTGAATTGTTATTGTTGGTAACCACTGAAATTTTGGGTCACTTATTATCACCGCATAATTGACCTAAGCTGACTGATACGTTAAACTTCCCCTTCTGTAGGTCCATTAGCCTCTCTTCATCTCTGAGCTGCCTTCACTCCTCCTTCATCCAGTATAGATCTTACTGTCAACAGTTAATATTTGTGAGATCATTTCCATTTCTGGGCTTATAAACTATCTCTAAGCCTCTTTTCCTAGTCCAGAAACATCCCAGGTATCCAGTCTTCTGGGGGCCAAGGCAAAGCCTTCACCTGAGTCCACAAATGCCTTAACGCCTCTCATGTACATCTGAATATAGTAGGTAAATTGTCCCTGGGGGCAATAGAGGAAACAGAAAGAGAGAGATTACAGTGGACCAAGAAGTGAATGAGGAAGAGACTACAGTATAGAGTATACTCCTTCCCCCTCAAAAAAAATGTGGCTATAAAGAGAAGGAAAGACAAGGAAGTGGTTGGGAAATCCAGCAGCCTGGAGTCTGATATGCTTTCTTATATCCTCCAGTTAGTTAGCTTCTCTCTAGTCCCCTGTTACAGAGGAGTAACTTCTAGTTTGTAGAGGTAGACCAAAGTTTTGGTTTCACTTTTTCTTGTGTCTATACTCACCACATGTTTCCTTTTCAGAATAGGTCCTTTCCTGCCACAGTACTGACCCTAGGAAAACCAGCTCCCTTGGAGGAGGAAGGGCTATTGATTCTGCCCCTACACTTTTAAATGGGAAAAACTTGAGCAACAATCAGTGCTGAGGACCAATAGAGAGCCATACAACAAAATTAGAAAAAGGAACATTTTCTCTGTGAAATAGGAGGCAAGAGCCTGAGCTGAAAGCTAGAGAAGCAAGGGTTGAGAAAGGAGTGTCTTCATAGGAGTAATGACCTCTTAAATTGTGTGGACCTGGCTGTGTGCGTGTGTGTGTGTGCATGTGCATATTCACATTAAAAATCGAAGCGCTACCAGAGACAAGACAGAAACTTTACAGAACCTCCTGAACCCCTTCTTCCTAATTAGTAAAGCAATTTGTGGCCAGGAGCTTTCTGCACTTGTATGCCCTCAGCCAGACCTCTTTTGGCAATAGCCATGTCAGTAGCCACTTTGTCCTAGGACCAGTGGCCCCTTTGGTTCGGGTTAATGCTGCCTCTCCCATGGGCAGTGAACAATTCTTGACTCTCTGGAGCCTCTCCTCCCCATTCCTCCCCAGGGCCCACCTGGCATAAGATCCGAGCGATTTAATGAAAGAAGAAATACAAGTCATACTAACTGGCCAGGAGCTCTCTTCAAGGATTAGGGAGTAAAAGGGGGAAAAAAAGGAGAGAAAAATCCAAGTCATAAGAGAGCCACCTCCAGAAAGACCTTCACCAGAACACTTTGGCTCTTAACTACTGCCTGTCTGTATCTGTCTCTACTCATATAATTGGCTGGAAAACAAAGTCCGCTTTTCATGGGACCTGGCTCTCATTTCCAGCTGTTGGAGCCGCGTCTCCTTCCTGCAGCAGTGTCCTGTGGCAGGCAGCCTGGCTAGAAAACCAGAAGACACATCGGACCAAAAGCAGTCCTGCTCAGTATGGTTGGTGAGAGCCTTAGAGGCACATTGATATATGTAACTGGGAAAGATTTGTAGAGACCTCTGACCCAAGCCCCTCTAGTTTACACTGGACCCAGATTAGAGAAGTAACTTTCTCAAAGTCAGACATTGCTACTTCCAGTCAGATAATAGTCGAGCTGGAAGATTAAGTCTTCTGCCGTTTGTCCATGTGGGGTCTTCCTATTGTTTCTTTTCTTTTTTTAAAAAAATATTTTCTTTAACGTTTATTTATTTTTTGAGAGACAGAGAGAGACAGAGCATGAACAAGGGAGGGACAGAGAGAGAGGGCAAGTCACAGAATCTGAAGCAGGCTCCAGGCTCCAAGCTGTCAGCACAGAACCCGATGCAGGGCTTGAACCCATGATCTGTGAGATCAGACCCGAGCTGGAGTCAGACACTTAACCGACTGAGCCACCCGGGTGCCCCCTTCCTATTGTTTCTTTATGTATCTGGTTCTGGACACACACACAAAAAAGTGAGGCTTTTATTTTAAATGGGAATGTGTTATTGGCCACAAAGCCAGATGAAGCGTAGGAAGGAGATTTCCTGGGGCATTGAAAACGAAAAAGACGAAGTACAGAGAGAGATTCGTAGTCCTTTTGGCAATGGAATCCCTAGTTCACTGGGTTTTAGAAAGTTTTTATTAATGAAACCCTTTGCTTCAATGAAATTCTACCACCAAATCAAGTATGACAAATAGATGTAAGAAGAGCTGAGGCAATTGAGATGGATGTGAGGGCCCAAAGACTCCTCTGACTCCTCACTCCCTCACCATTTAGAGTGGTCCCTAAAGCACTACAGCAGAATATATAAGGTTGCATTCAACACACTTTGAAAACACAGCCCTGGTAGTGTTCTGGAATCCTAGGTATGAGGGATTTCAAAAGGGCACCAGTCTTATGCACCCACATAGAACCAAATTACTGAGATGCCCAATGGTGTTGGGGAAGAGACCACAAAAGAATATTCTTTTTAGGAGTTCAGCTTCCTTTGCCCTGGGGCTTTTCTCTCACTTCAATCCAATTTTCCCTTTGCCTTTCTCTCTGGAGAAAACAAAGCTAGACTGAGAGTTTCCTGAAAGTCTCCAAGTCATTTCTTTATAAAAAAAAAAGGGGGGGGGGGAAGTAATCAATGGAAAAATAATTTTACAACATTAGAGAAATTTTGTTTACAAGAAAAAAATGCCCATAAACCTACTGCCCAATAGAGAAATTATTTCTATTTTCAATATTCTATGTCAATCTTCATACATACAAAAATTTGATTTTTGCACAGCATGTTATGAGCCCTCTGGTTTATAAAAGTATTTGTTTAATTTACCCAATTTTACAGATTAATAAGGTAAGGCTTAAGGAAACTGAGTAACTTTTACCAAATGATACCATTAGAATGTTTGAGCTAAGACTCAAGGTTACTACTGTACTCTAAGACTAGTTCTCTTTCCACTTCAATAGCAGCTGACACAGAACTGTAGATACCACTGGCTAAGTATCAGAGCCAAGGAATATTAAAATACAATTTAAGTGAACTCCCTACTAGCAAAGTTCCTTGTGATGCCAAAACCACACAAAATTCAGCTTCTAATAATCAATTCAAAACCACAAGTGTGGTGCACTAGCATATCAGATGAGTTGGAACATCTGGTTTAGTCCCAACCTCAACATCACTTTGATATGAGAACTTAGGCAATGCGTTATCCTCATTTGTTTTTTTTTTAATTTTTTTTTAATGTTTATTTATTATTGAGAGACAGAGAGAGACAGAGCATGAGCATGGTAGGGGTAGAGAGGAGGAGACACAGAATCCGAAGCAGGCTCCAGGCTCCAAGCTGTCAGGGAGCCCAACACGGGGCTGGAACTCACAAACCACGAGATCATGACCTGAGCCGAAGTCAGATGCCCAACCCACTGAGCCACCCAGGCGCCCCTATCCTTATTTGTAAAATGAAGGGTTTAAAGTCCACTATGACACCACCTTAGTTACTGTGAGTCTATGACCTTACTATTCTGAGAAGGAATCACTTGTGCATGGGCTTCCTAGCCCTTAACCATAAAAGGTTTTCTAGGCTTAGCCACTGGGGCTCTTTTCCCTTCTTTTGATTCCAGGATGTACCTGACTTGCATGTGCATGGTATTTTTATTTAAAAAAAGTCATGCAGGGTGAAGGTATAGAGATCATGACAAGATAGTGCTAGTAGTTAGAAAAGAAGGGCAAGTGAAGAGATTGTATCTGAGAAGACACTTCCTTATCCTGAGTTTCCTGTTTTGGTCTATAGGTAAGGAGATATATTGTCTGCGAGTAGAAAACTCCTGTTCGCTGAGAAAGACTCAGATCAATGTCTTATCAAGTGGAAAAATCATTCATTCCTTTTGAGGGACAGAATCTCTAAGCAACCATGAAAAATGTCAGTATGATTACTGAGTTTGTCCTCCTGGGATTATCCAGTGACCCCCAGATCCAGACCATGCTCTTCGTGCTCTTCCTGGGGATTTACCTCCTGACCCTGGTGGGGAATCTGGTGATGATCCTGGTGATCAGGGTTGATCCCCGCCTCCACACACCCATGTACTTCTTCCTTGGACACCTATCCTTCCTGGATCTCAGTTTCTCCTCAGTCACTGTGCCCAAGATGCTACAGAACTTCTTATCTCAGAATAAAAGCATCTCAATGTGGGGATGCATCACTCAGACCTTCTTTTTCACTCTCTCTGGGGGAACAGAAGCTTGTCTGCTCTCTGCCATGGCCTATGACCGCTATGCTGCTATCTGCCACCCTCTGGTCTACACCATGGTCATAAACAGACCTCTCTGTATTGTGATTGTGAGCATAGCATGGGCAGTGGGATTTCTGATTTCCTTGCTGAATAGTCTCTTCATCCACAAGTTGTATTTCTGCGGGTCCAACATCATCCTCCACTTCAGCTGTGAGCTACCTCCTCTCTTTCCTCTGTCCTGTACCGATCCCATTGTCAATGAGATTCTTCTTGCGGTGTCCTGTGCATTTCTAGGGCTGCTGACGCTTCCCCTGATCCTCTTCTCTTACTCCAGAATAATTTCTGCCATTCTGAACATCCGCTCCTCTGAGCGCCAAGCCAAAGCCTTCTCCACCTGCTCCTCCCACCTCACCGTGGTGCTCTTGTTCTATGGGACGGCTCTATTCAGGTACATCAGCCCTGCCTCAGGCTCAGTGTTGGAGCGCGTGGTCTCCATTCAGTACAGTGTGATCACATCCTTGCTGAACCCCCTCATCTACAGCCTCAAGAACCAGGAGGTGAAGGCTGCTCTGCAGAGGATGCTGAAGCAACAAAAGTATGCCTCATGGTACAATAAAAGCTGCGTGATTCTGCTCAGGAAATAGAAAAAAATTATCTCTAAAGAAGAAAGATTTTTATGGGCATAGAGCACTTGGGGAAATTTCATTTCAATTAAATTCAAGTATTTGGGGGTACCAAGGTGGCTCGGTTGGTTGAGGGTCTGACTCTTGATTTCAGCTCAGGTCGTGATCTCATGGTTCATGAGATGTATCCCCACATCAGGCTCCATACTGACAACGCAGAGCCTGCTTGGGAGTCTCTCTGCCCATCCCCCATTTGTACTCCCTCTCAAAATAAATAAAAACTTTAAAAAAAATTAGAAAATGATAAATGTGAGCTCACCCTGTGTCTTTAAAAAAATTCAAGTATTTGTCTGGACTTCAAAGCAAATAAGCTATCACAAAAATGGAGGGTGGGGAAAAGAGTTTGATATATAGGCTCCTATCTAGCAGCCCTTTGCAAAAATAATCTGAGAGGGATCTTGGCTATATTGAGAAGATAGCAGGCTGACACAGATAAAGCGTATTTGGAGCAGAGCAGGGTGTCTGGCCAAATTGATTATTTCTGGATGTGTCTTTGAGGATGTTTCCAGATGAATTTGAATCAATGAACTGAGTAAAGATTACCCTCACCAAGGTGGGGCATTGTTGAAGGCCCAACCTTCAACAATCGGTTGAGGGCCCAAATAGAACAAAACTGCAGTGGTAGGGAAAATTTGCATTCTCTGAGCTGGAACATCCATCTTCTCCTGACCTCAGACACTAGGGCTCCTTGTTCTTGGGCCTTCAGACTCAGATGGGAATTTACACTACTGTCTCCCCTGGTTCTTAGGCTTTTGAGTTTGGATGGAATTACACCACAGGCTTTTCTGGGACTCCAGCTTGCAGACAGCAATCATGGGATTTCTCAGCCTCCATAATCATGCCAGTCAATCCCTCATAACAGATCTCTTTTCCTACAATTGTCTTAGCCAAAAGGCCAAGAAGCAATGTATATCTCTTTTTCTATTCCATTCTCTTCTGTTCTTTCTATTTTTCTGGAAAAGTGTGACCAATACAGCAGGGAAAAGTAAAAATAATAATCAATTGTCAGATTGAAAATCAGTATATTGTACCTATTTTATTTTTCTTAAACTCTCTCATTTGAGGTCTCACATTTAAAAATACAGAATGGGCATTTGATCTAAATATATATTGTATACCAGTATATGGAGTGGAGAATATAACAGCAGCCTACTGAGAAGAATTAAAGAGGACCTAAATAAATGGAGAGTAATATACCATGCTTATGAATTGGTAGCCTGGTTATTGTAAAGATGCCAGTTGTTCCCAAGTTGATTTATATATTCAGAGTAATGTCAGTCAAAAATCCAGAATACTTTTTTTTTTAATATAAAAAGTTGATTCTAAAATTTATATTGGGATGAGCACTGGGTGTTGTATGGAAACCAATTTGACAATAAATTTTATATTAAAAATAGATAGATGCTGGTTCAACATTCGCAAATCAATCAATGTGATACATCACATTAATAAAAGAAAAGATAAGAACCATATGATCCTGTCAATCGATGCAGAAAAGGCCTTTGACAAAATTCAGCAACCTTTCTTAATAAAAACCCTCGAGAAAGTCAGGATAGAAGGAACATACTTAAACATCATAAAAGCCATTTATGAAAAGCCCACAGCTAACATCATCCTCAATGGGGAAAAACTGAGAGCTTTTTCCCTGAGATTAGGAACACGACAGGGATGTCCACTCGCACCGCTGTTGTTTAACATAGTGTTGGAAGTTCTAGCATCAGCAATCAGACAACAAAAGGAAATCAAAGGCATCAACATTGGCAAAGATGAAGTCAAGCTTTCACTTTTTGCAGATGACATGATATTATACATGGAAAATCCGATAGACTCCACCAGAAGTCTGCTAGAACTGGTACATGAATTTAGCAAAGTTGCAGGATACAAAATCAATGTACAGAAATCAGTTGCATTCTTATACACTAATAATGAAGCAACAGAAAGACAAATAAAGAAACTGATCCCATTCACAATTGCACCAAGAAGCGTAAGATACCTAGGAATAAATCTAACCAAAGATGTACAAGATCTGTATGCTGAAATCTATAGAAAGCTTATGAAGGAAATTGAAGAAGATATAAAGAAATGGAAAAACATTCCGTGCTCAAGGGTTGGAAGAATAAATATTGTCAAAATGTCAATACTACCCAAAGCTATCTACACATTCAATGCAATCCCAATCAAAATTGCACCAGCATTCTTCTTGAAACTAGAACAAGCAATCCTAAAATTCATATGGAACCACAAAAGGCCCCGAATAGCCAAAGTAATTTTGAAGAAGAAGACCAAAGCAGGAGGCATCACAATCCCAGACTTTAGCCTCTACTACAAAGCTGTCATCATCAAGACAGCATGGTATTGGCACAAAAACAGACACATAGACCAATGGAATAGAATAGAAACCCCAGAACTAGACTCACAAACGTATGGCCAACTAATCTTTGACAAAGCAGGAAAGAACATCCAATGGAAAAAAGACAGTCTCTTTAACAAATGGTGCTGGGAGAACTGGACAGCAACATGCAGAAGATTGAAACTAGACCACTTTCTCACACCATTCACAAAAATAAACTCAAAATGGATAAAGGACCTGAATTGGATGTGAGACAGGAAACCATCAAAACCCTAGAGGAGAAAGCAGGAAAAGACCTCTGACCTCAGCCGTAGCAATTTCTTACTTGGCACATCCCCAAAGGCAAGGGAATTAAAAGCAAAAGTGAATTACTGGGACCTTATGAAAATAAAAAGCTTCTGCACAGCAAAGGAAACAATCAACAAAACTAAAAGGCAACCAATGGAATGGGAAAAGATATTTGCAAATGACATCGGACAAAGGGCTACTATCCAAAATCTATAAAGAGCTCACCAAACTCCACACCCGAAAAGCAAATAACCCAGTGAAGAAATGGGCAGAAAACATGAATACACACTTCTCTAAAGAAGACATCCGGATGGCCAACAGGCACATGAAAAGATGTTCAATGTCGCTCCTCATCAGGGAAATACAAATCAAAAACACACTCAGATATCACCTCACGCCAGTCAGAGTGGCCAAAATGAACAAATCAGGAGACTATAGATGCTGGAGAGGGTGTGGAGAAACGGGAACCCTCTTGCACTGTTGGTGGGAATGCAAATTGGTGCAGCCACTCTGGAAAGCAGTGTGGAGGTTCCTCAGAAACTTAAAAATAGACCTACCCTATGACCCAGCAGTAGCACTGCTAGGAATTTACCCAAGGGATACAGGAGTACTGATGCATAGGGGCACCAATGTTTATAGCAGCACTCTCAACAATAGCCAAATTATGGAAAGAGTCTAAATGTCCATCAACTGATGAATGGATAAAAAAATTGTGGTTTATATACACAATGGAGTACTACGTGGCAATGAGAAAGAATGAAATATGGCCCTTTGTAGCAACATGGACGGAACTGGAGAGTGTGATGCTAAGTGAAATAAGCCATACAGAGAAAGACAGATACCATATGTTTTCACTCTTATGTGGATCCTGAGAAACTTAACAGAAACCCATGGGGGAGGGGAAGAAAAAAAAAAAGAGAGTGGAAGAGAGCCAAAGCATAAGAGACTCTTAAAAACAGAACAAACTGAGGGTTGATGGGGGCTGGGAGGGAGGGGAGGGTGGGTGATGGGTATTGAGGAGGGCACCTTTTGGGATGAGCACTGGGTGTTGTATGGAAACCAATTTGACAATAAATTTCATATATTGAAAAAAAAAATAAAATGTATGAGAAAAAAATAAAAAAGAAAAAAAAGGAAAAAATAAATAAAAACTAAAAAAAGATAAAAAATAAAGTAAAATTTATGTAGAAGCAAAATGGTCCAAAAAATGCCAAGCTACCCTTGAAGCTAAAAATAACAAGGTAGGGCCACTTGTGTGGTTGAGTCGGTTAAGCGTCTGACTTTGGCTCAGGTCATGATCTCGCGGTTTGTGGGTTGGAGCCCCACGTCTGGCCTTGTGCTGACAGCTGGACCCTGGAACCTGCTAAGGATTCTGTGTCTCCCTCTCTCTCTGCCCCTTCCCCTGCTCTCTCTCTCTCTCTCTCAAAGTAAATACACATTAAAAAAAGAACAAGGTAAATGATCTTGTTTCACCAGACATCAAGATTTATTATAAAACGGTAACTAAGATTTTCTATTACTAACACAGAGACAAACAAATACACCAATGGACAAGGAAAGAGAACTCAGAAATGGGCCTGAAATACAGAAATGGATACTGAGATCAGAAGACATATCAATTCATTCAGGATAGACTTTTCAGTCAGTAGGGCTGGGATGATTAATTATCCATGTAGAAAATTAATGAAATTTTATCCTCACCCACCATATGTAAAAATCAATTCCCATTAGACTAAACTACTAAATGTGAAAGGCAAAACTATAAATCTTTTATAAAATAGTACAGGACAATGTATTGATCATAGAGAAGGATTTTTAAAAACAAGATATGAAAAGCACTAAGTATAAAAAGTTGATAAATACAATTATATTAAAATTATGAACTTTATCAAAACTCTCTTAGGAATGAAAAGACAAGCCACAAAGTGGGAAAAATATTTGCCACACATATGGATACCAAAAATCCCAATATCCTACATTATAAAAAGAAAAAAAATCATTCTGATAGAAAAATGAGCAAAAAGAACAGGAACTTGATAGAAGAGGAAGTCTAAATCTTTAAGTTTCTCAGCCTTAATAGTAGTCATGCAAATTAAAGCCACAATGAAAAGGACCATTAAACAGGTATCAGAAGGGGAAAAATTAAGGAGTCCAATAAAATGAAGTATTGGCAATAATGTGGAACAATGAGGACTCTCATTTTAGGAAAAGTTTCAGTGACCCATTATATGGTAAAGTTAATTCAGCCCAGAATTCCACTAGGTATTTATCCTAGAGAAACTCATA